TCCTTTGGAGCCCGTTTTGGGTTCCTTCCAGTTTCCAGTTTAGCCAGCGAAACGTGCTTTGTAGGTGCTTGTTTTTCCCTCAAAAATCCTATGTGTTCCTTTTGATTTTGCCGGGAGAAGGAAAACCCCAGAAAGAAGACACACACACACACACCCGCACACGCGAATTTTCCTCTCAGTATGCAACGTTCCTTTTAGAGGGAGAAGCTTGGAGGGGTGCCATGTCAATGGAGGAGAAAGACTTGCTGGTCGTTGGAAGGGAGCCAAATGGTTGTGGGTGTTCAATGTTGCCGAAGGGAGCCTGTCGGAGCAGCCGAATTTGGTCGGAACCCACCAGCAACCATTCTTAGGGGGACATCCGGTGACCCCTCTTATGTATACCCCCTACTCCAAATACCCACTTTTTTTAAGGGTATTTTTTTGGAAAACCTGGTTTTCCACGGTAAATGCCTCCTTTTTTAGTAGAGGGTTTACATGATACCCTAAAAAAAGTGGGTATTGGGTGTAAGGGGTATATATATATATACATGTACCTTTTTGTTTGAACTTACCTTCTTGGCTGCACCTCCCCAAGCCCGTGGTTCTTCGAACTATCGCCGTGCCAAGGCCGCGCCTGGCGATGGACGGCAACCTCTCCACCTACTGGCAGGCGCAGACTCGACGCGACGTGCGCGCGTGCGCCTGGCCCTCCGTCGTTTTTTCCTTTTTTTTTCTTTCTTGGTTTCCTGAAAGGGGCGATGGATTCGGTACGTCTTTGGTAAGTGGGTAAGAGCCATAGTTTTCAGGGACTTAACCAAGGGGCGAGAGCAGATGGTGGGTGTCCAGCAGGTTCAAGCAAAAGGTGCCGCCCTTGCTGCCGTTCTGGACGGCTCTGTGACTTGGGGCAATCCTGACGGTGTGGTGACAGCAGGGCCAGACGTTTCTTGACCTCTGAGACAGAGTTGCTCGTCTTGTTCTTAAACTTACCTCTTAAAAACACAACTTTTCAATTGTTTGGGGGTAACATGGGCTATATGTATGTAAAAGATTAACTTCCCCAGGGCTTGGAGTTTTAAGGGGTAAGTTAATTAAGCAGCAGTGGCAAGGCAGAGCCATGGTGCGCGGCAGCATGTAGCATGGCGCTGACTTTCGGCTTGGAAAGCCCTTGAAAATGGAAGGCCGCCGATCATTCCTTGCCAGGTTTGGAGCATTTTTAGTTTGCAAACAACAGGTTTCGCGTGTTTTGTTTTTGGGCCAATCCACTCGGCCGGAAGTGGACCTTTGACCTTCATGTTTGCTTCTGGCTTTCTTTGTAATTGCCCAGACGCTCACGATTTATGGGCCCTCAAACAGCCGGGGTTTGAGACCCCAAAACCTCTGCGGTGTCCAATGGAGGGTCTGGGTCTTCCATTGGAAGCCGAAGCCAGCGTCTGGGTAGTCCTTTTGAAAACGAACGGCTGTTCCGAGTTAAACCCGCAAAAGCTCGTGAACCTTTGCTCGGGGCTTGGGGCACCCCACATGGTTTTCAGGTCACCCACCGGGCCCGGCGGAATTTGTTGGTCCCAAGGTCATGTCTTCCTGGCCGAAATCGGGGAATTGCCCGCAAACCGGTCAAACCAATCACTTGGGACCCTCACGCCCCAAAACATTGGATCCCTAAACATATGGATGAGACTGCCTTCATGATGAAGACCAGGACCCCTTATGCCAACCAACGCCCAGCCCAAGTAGACTAGAGCTTCTTTTTGCGCATTTGCCTTCGTTGGACCTGCGCAGGCTTTGCCAGCGCAGACAGGCCCACGGGGTGTTGGACTTCGTAGGGCGGAGAAAAAGAGCAGATTGCTGAGCAAGCAGAAGCCTATAAGAAAGGCCTTAAAGCCTCACTTCCTGAGTTCAAAGTTTCGGGCTTTAACTTTTTGGGCAGACCATTTTAGTGAAAACAAACAGTTGGGAAAGCCACACTTCGTGAGTTCCTGGACTTTCAACTATTTTGGAAAAGCCATGTTAGTGGAAAGCATACAGTTGGGACTTGTTCTGGGCCATCCACTTTAGCCTGGTTCCACTTGGACGGGGCCGATCCTGGCCCCGGACCGCCTGTATGTATCCCCCGCAACGCCTGTGGATCCTGATGCGGCCGGTGCCCACGACGTGATGCCCAGCCTGCTGAGCGTGGGCAAGGGGATTCGGGTGACGCAGCGCCCGCACCGGCGGTCGGAAGGGAGAAGCTGCAAACTGGATGCTGGTAGGGTTTGGTCCATCCCAACTCTTCAAATGGGTGTGGCTCATGGGCCGACCTTTTCCCCACCCGCCTGCAAGTTTTCAGGTCCGAGAATAGAAGATTTCCTGTAGAACTTCCTGTTCAGCTGAGTTCCTAGAAGATTTGGTGGGACATTTTGGCTATGATGGCATAATTTGGTCATTTCAAAGATGCCATCAATACGAAGCCCCGCTAGAAAAGTATTCCATGACTTGAGGTCCACATTTCTCCATTTGCACAGCTGGATCTAACAAGGGTAGGCTTTGAGGTTTCAAGGGCTGTTCAAAGTTTCTCCTTAGCTCAGTGGCCCACAACCGACCTTTTCACCTTTTGGTTGTCCCTGTTTGGCCCATTAGTCAAGCTTAACCTTGTATTTCTGGGTCCTTTGGGCAAGTGAGCCTTGCCTTGGGATACAAAATCGGAGACAAAATCGAATTGGCCAAACCAGAGACTATTTTGAACAGCCCAGCAGACTCCGCTTTTCGCGCTTGGCTGTTGGCTCAGCGGGGTTGCCCAACCTGCCCACCAAACCTCCTTGGGCTCACTTGCCCAGAGCCGACCTTGTGACCTTTTGTTTCCCCTTGTTGGTCTATGTATCATCATGGCCCCACAGGTTAACCTTGTCTTTGGTGTATGTTGCTTGGATGTTAGGACTTGTTTTTTTGCCAACTAATGGGTAAACAATTAAACCACTAAAAGTTAAACTTTGAGCAGGGGAGCAGATAGCAACCGAGAGATTTTCATCATGGCCCCAAAGGTTAACCTTTTGTTTCCAGGTCGTCCTAGGGGGTCGTTTGGTTGCAATCCTAAATAACTATTTAGATGCCCAGTCCCCAGTTGCCTTTACTTTCCAGCTAATTTTGCCAAATTATGGGCTACTAGTGGGGTTCCAGTGGCTGGAAAAAAAACAAAAAGTAGCTACTTGGGGTTCCAGTAGTTCTTCACGCTGGACAGACCGTCCGCTTTCCACGCACTCAAGGGTCGACATCATACCCTGCAACAAGGACGGGTAGTTGGAGGTCACAGGGGTGGGCGTCTTTCCGATGTTCGACCGCACTTGGTCCATGCAACAAGGCCGCGTATTTGGAGGTCACGGGGGTAGGCGTCTTGTTCCGACCTTCGAATCGCCTTTCCAGAACCTCAATGGCTGGGCCTTCACTTCGCCGTACCCAGCGCCGGGCGCTTGGCTGTTGGGACGGAGTGAGTGAATTTTAGCGAGCGACATTTGCATTTAGACTAAGTGAATGAACCTGGGATTCCTCTTGGCAGGCCACTGCGGGGCTCCTCTTTCAAGGAAGGTCACATGGGCTGGTCTCAAGGGTCTAAAAATTATTGCTGGTGCGATAGGTAGGGAACGAGGGAATGAACCTGGGGGGTGCCCTCACAGGTCTTTCCATACTTGTCGCACCAGCGAGGAAAGGAACATGTGGTTTGTTCCTCGGTTGGTTTTAAGGGTTTTAAAGGGTATCGATCTGCATAAATGCGTTTTGTTTCATCAACCTGCCCTACCCACAATGAGAAGAAATAGGTCCCACCTAGAACTCAGTTGTTCAAAGACGACCTTTTGACCTTTTGGTTTTCCAATTTTGGTCTACTTTTAGCAGAGGTCCCAAAAGGTGAACCTTTTATTTCCGGGTCCTTTGGGCAACTGAGAGAAACCATGTACTTGTACTTCCATTTGCTCAATATTGATTTCACTACGGATCATGTCTTTTTTGTCTGCGGGGCCAAAAAGCAGAGGGGCCAATTTCTAGTTGCAACTTCCAGCATGGAACCCACGACTTCCAGTTGCTTAAGAATATCTTTTATTTTCCCTTGGTTTTAAAGGGAATCTATCACTACTGGACATATTTTTATTTTTCCCGGAGGCTTAAGCAAATGGAAGATGAACCTCATTGCTGGAGGAGGTTTGCCGACTTTAGCACCAGGCGCAGGACTAAGAGATCTGCACGCGGGGTTGGTGGTGCATGCATTTAGGGGTTGATTCCCCCTTCTTTTCAACCATCGTTCTTTTCAAAAACCGGCAGTTTCCCCTAGGTTTTTGATGGCTTCCTGAAAAGAAGGATCCCTGGAAAGAATGGGGAAGGTACCCCTAGAATGCACCTGGAGTCCCCATGACCCTTAACAAATTGGGTCATTACCCAAAATTAAAGGGTCATGGACCCATTTTTTCAGGGTCATGGAGGCTCTAGGCAGATGCCTTGCAGACGTTTCTAAAAAAAAATCCGACCAGTGGCCGGCCGCCGCACCACTCCCACGGTTTCGCTCTTCGCTTTGGCCCTGCCGCGCGCTTATTTTTTGTCTCGAAACCGTGTGTTTCCATTTGGTGTGCTCAACTCATTGAGCCCACCGGGCTCAACTTCCAGAGGTCGTGGAAACGTTTGGGCAGACCATTTTGGTGAGCAAAAACCAGACCCAGCCACTCAGGAAGTGAGGCATGGCGGGGCTTGCCCCAAATTTTTGCGGCAGCCGCTGGCTCAGGCTCCATGGAGGGCAAATGTTTCGCACACGGGGAGTCATGAAGTGCGACCCAACTGGGGCCCAGCTGGACCCTTCAAGTACCCAGAACCAATTTTTGTTCAGGCAGCTCACAACCTGCATATAGCCCCATTGGTTGGCAACCGGGAGCCCAGAATGGCTTCTCCCAGCTCCTGCGAACCGACCATACTTTTTGGTTTTCCCTGGTCGGCCACTTTTGGTAAACAAGGAGAAACACTATTTTCGGGGGAGGGTCCTATCAAAAACACACACTCATTTGGACAGCGTTTGCCGCTTCAGTCGCCGAATTTCTGAGAATCGCCATGGCTCCTGTGGAGGAAGCCGCAAACCTGCTACAAGCGGGCGCCAAAGCGCACAAGAACGGTGACCTAAAAGCCGCCGAGGACCTGAATTCGACTGACTTGTTGGTTACCTGAAGGCTAACAGGGTACTTGAAGGGGACTTGATGGAAACTCAGAATCAAGAACCCCCTGGTTGATGAGGGCCGGGAAGTGTTTCACTTTCAGAAGCCTTCTTGTGCCTTCCTTCAAGCAACAACAATATCTGAATAATTGTAAACAACTATACTCAAAAATACGTCAACGTGTTTTTGCAAGCAAAAACACAGCCCACATGGCGTTCCGGCCTTTTCACTTCTGTGTTTCAGCGATGCTCTGTCTTAGAGTTGTTTCCCACCAAAAACAAAATTCGAATTTTGGACCCCTCGTTTTTGAACGACCCTTTTTCGGATGCTGGGTCAATAGGACCCCCCCCGCCCAAGAGGCCTGTTGCCCCCAGCAAACCAAACCTTCCATTTGGACAGTCCAAACTCCGCCTGGAATTTTAGGGAACCCCGTTTAAGAGGCCGGGTTCCCCTTTTTGAGGCTGTTTCAAGGAAAGCCATATGTAGCGTGCCCGGATTTTCACATCAACTGTTTGGCCCTTTCAAGGTGAGCTTCCTTTGAGATCGGGGTCATGTTCAAAGGGGAACTGCAGGGAGCATGGGGATACGGCACGACTATTTGTAGCGTCCTATCTTGACACCGGTAGACTAGGAGCTCTACGAGCAAGCCCTCGCCGAGAAGGACAAGTCGGAAACGGGCGCGGAGGTGGCAGAGCTGCTGCACTTGCTGGGCGCTCTCCGGGCATCTTTGGCCGAATTCCGGTCGGCTGTCTCTGGTTAGCTCACTTGTAACCGAATCGAACTTTTCACGACTATTGCTTTTCTTTTTTTGCGGCAACCATTTTGAGTGCAGGTTCCAAAAAGTTAAGGCTTGATTTCCCTGTCCTTCTGCGGCATGAGAAATAAATGAAAATATTAGCCCCTAGATGGGGGTTTGGCATGGTTGAAAATATCAATCGATCCCACGGGTGAAGATTCCTAATGTCCGGCGGGTGAATGACAAGGCCTTCTTCAAAGGATTCCTGACTGACATTCGAGGCATTGTACAATGGTTTTCAACTGTCTCAGTTGTCCAAAGCCGAGCTTTCGACCGTTTGGCCCCAGAACTTCATGGTTGTTTGGACACATTTTCCCATGTTTGCTTATTGTGGCTTAGTGGTTGGAATCCAAATCCACTTTGCTGCTGAAAAAATAAAATGGTTGCTCCCCAAACCCAACGTCAACCAAGAGAAGCTGATCATGAAGTCCTTTAAGCCTAGGGGCACCTGCCAACTATTCTTTCCAGGGAGGTTCAACAGAATGGGGAAGCAACCTTTAGAAGCTGTCGTTTGGTCCAAACTGTATATATATATATATCTACCTACTGAAAAAGCTCGGTATTTGGATATGGCGGCCAAAGGCAGCGTCTTTGGCGTGGGGGATGGGGACCTTGGTTTTTGCAACAGTCGGCCTGTTCAGATGCCAAGCCAGTTGTGAAGCCCAGTTCCTCTTTCCAAGCGGCCGCCCAAATAGCCACAAAGGGGCCAACCGCCCAATAGCGCCCAAGGTCTTACCGGTGTTGCCCCAAAGGCCCCGTCAGGACCTTTCGCAAATCCGTTGCGCTTCCGAAGTAAACCCACCAAAGGTACGGATCAGCAGGAGGGCCCTAGACTCAGTTGCCCCCTCAACCGACCTTTCAAGCTTTTGGTTTTCCGTTGTTGGTCCATTTTTAGTCGTGGGCAAGCACGCTGGAGTTCCAAAACCGGCGCTCAGATCCAAAAGCTTGGCGTGGACGACGATGACGAGGGTCCCCAGAAGCCTCCGACCGCGGAGCTGGAGGACAGAAATGACTCAGATGGGGTTGTGAACGTCTGACAACCTGGCAAGGTCAAATGCGACAGAAATGCAACGGACATCTCACATGTTTCGGGTTCGCTATGGTTGCTATGTACGCTGGAAGGCGCACCTTTCAGCTTTCAGAGAGGAAGCTGATGGCTATTTCGCTAACCTACAGGCAAATGAGCAAATCGGAGGTGTCCAATATCCAATGGGCGAAGGTCATTGAGCCAGACGGGTTAGTAAAGACCGGGTTACACATTCCCGCAAGGCTGATCCCTTGCTTACTTGAAGCTCAAGCTGGGACCATGACCAGGCCACATAGGAAAGAAGTTCGACCGGCTGCTTGCCATACAACCAAGGCTTGATTTGCCGTGTTGGGTAGTCTTTTTTGGGGCCCAAGGCCTGGACCAAGTCCTGACCGGTGGTAGCTCCGCCCAAAAAGTTTGCTCGCTGGCTCCCGTCCCTGAGCAGACTGAACAAACTTAGGCCCCAAGTACCTGGATCCCCAAAGGGCCGATTCCGATTTTTTTCCGCCAATTTGACCCCCCAAAAAAAAAGAAGTACAAAGGCAGACAAAAGGAATCGGGTCCTTTGGGGGTCCAGGTAGGCAATGTGCTTCTCTCAAGAGCCTCGAGGGTCCGAAGCAGGGCGTTCCCTAGAGAGGATCCGGATCACTAGTTTTTAGTTGTTTTTTCCCTCGGAGGGGAGCACCCTCTTAATAATCACAAATTTAAAGATCATATTTGTCATTTGCCTAATAATTGTGTTTAATCTTCCCCTGTATTTGTTTGAAGGACGTCAAAATACTACCGGAAAAAAAACATATCTGTATTTTCCAGGCTGCCAATGAAAGTCTCCCCCAAGTTCTTGAGCTTTCGTCACTTTTGGTTTGGTTGCCATTTTGGTGGTAAATAACAAGTTCGGCCAATCCGTTTACTAGCGAAGTGCGAAGTTATGTCCCAAGCACTCTTGGCATGTTTTTGTTTAAGGTGTTTTGGGGTTTGGTCCATTTGTAGTTGGGCTGCACAAAAATACTTGTTGATTTTTATTCTTCTATTTTTGTCGTTGGGCTGCAACAAAGCAGCGCCCGTTCTTTTTTTGTTTGCCATGTTCGGCCAATCCACTTGGAAAGTTAGAACTTAGGGCCCAAGCTCTTCGGCATCATTTTAATGTTTGTTGGGTGTTTGTCCATTTTTAGCCGGCTGCCAAAAAAAGCAGCATTTTTGTTTTCCCCCAAATCCATAAACATGCCGTTTGGCTTCTACAGAAGTCCAGACCCGGCCCGTCCCTTTCGCGCAGGCCGGGGTGGCGCTCTTGCGGCGCGCCGCGGCCGCGCTGCCGAGCAGCGCCGAGGACTCTGCCAGGGCGAGGCTGCTGTGCTCCCTGGGTACCGCGCTGCTGAGGCGCAGACTCTGCGCGACTTGCGCGAAGCGACCGGTGCCATGGGCGAATGAGAAGTGGAATGACCATTAAAACAAAGAGAAAAGACATCCCCTGCGGTTACAGGAAACCCTGGTTCATTCCTGTTCCCTACTGAGCACCAGCAAGTTTTGCTTCCTGAGTTGCGCTTCGCACTAACGCCAATGGCGTACAGCCCGCCAGCAAAGAACACAAGACTGCATGGTCAACACTTCCGGAGTGATGGAAGTCGAACCTAAGGGCGTGGCCACGGTTGCCCAACCGCATCTTAACACTGAGCCTTGGTTACAAACCACATCTTTCTAACGGTGCCTTTCATGTCCATTCTTTCCGGGGACGCTTCTTTTTCGAGAAAACATCCGGAACTTCAGGAAAAACGGCTCGTTTCTGAAAAGAACGATGGTTGAGAAGGAACCAGAATCATCCCCTCGAATCCTGGCTACGTGGTTGGATCTTTACCTTGAAATTTTCGCGGGCGCTTTTGGTGCCTTTCGGCAACAGCATGGTTCACTACCCGGGCTTATGACCGTTATATTTTATAATATTTTTGCAAGGCCTGCATGCTGTGTCGTTGTTTTGAAATACCTAGAGTCTCCATGACCCTTGGAAATTGGGGTCATTACCCAAAATAATGGGGTCATGGACCCATTTTAAGGGTCATGGAGACTCCAGGTAGTGGCTTTCCTGTCGGTGTTCCCTTCAAAGCACCAAAAAAAGGAAACACAACACAAAACAACAAAAAACAAGAGAAACAAAAGAAAAGTGGCCTCAAAAATCGGGACAGCCCGGTTTCCCACCATCCAACAGTTTCTGTATTCATATCTTTGTGTGCTTCTTAAGAGCATGTGATTTGTTTTCTCCAATCCCGGGAGCGCCGCCAGCTCCAATTTGATTTGGTCTACAGCGCGAGAAGAAGTCGCGTCTACAGCCCTTTCTTCCACCATCCAACAAACTAAACCTTTCTAGCCATGTCCATTGGTTTTTGTTAAGACAAATCATATCCATCATATCCATGTTGTTTTTTCTTAAGAATCAATCAAAATCCACCAGAGCCTCGTTTTTTTTTTGGGGGGGGGCGCCATGTGCTCCTCGCTTTTGAAGGCTTCGGTGCTGATTTGTCGCAGGCCCGGGGCACCGGAGGCCATGCTGCGGGAGGGTCTGCAGCTGCTGCGGGTGGCCCTGCGCTTGGACGCCACGCGCTGGGCCGCCTGGCGCCTCGAAGCGAAGCGAGACGCGAAGCGCGTGGCGCGCGTTTCGCGCCAGAGGGGTGGAGCTGAGCTGCGGTTTTATGCTGCTCCGAAAAGGGGATGGACCTGAAAGAAAGCCTTTTGGGTGGTCCAACTGTTGGGGTTCCCATTTTTTGTGATCACCCTTTTTTTCCGGGTCCAGACTGGGCAAGTGAGCATTTGCTGAAGAGCTCACTCAACTCGAGTTCCGGGACTCGGACCATGTTACAAAGCAGTTCGGGTGCTTTTTTGCCAATCCACTCAGGAAGTGTGCAAGAAGAGCATTGGTTAGTTTGTCCTGGTTGGTCCGATTTGACTACCGGACATGGGTCGAAAAAGCAAATCGAGCCTTGGATCGGGCTCAGGAACGGGCGTCTTTTTTTGGAAGGTACTCATTTTATTGTTGTGGTTTTCAAGTGGATCCGAATGGACGCCAACCATCTAGGGGTTCCCCGATTTTGCCGTTGAGTCGATCGCTCTTTCCTGGACTTTATACCCCCTACGCCCAATACCCGGCCTTTTTTCAGGTATGATGTCGCCCTTCTACTAAAAAGGGAGGTATTTACGATGGAAACCCAAGTTGTTCAAAATATACCCTAGAAAAAGTGGGTATCTAGAGTAGGGGGTATTTGTTGGGTTTGGACCGTTTGAGTGGAAAACGCAAAGTTTGGACTTTCTCTCTGGCCAATGCACTCGAGAGAGCCTGTTGTTCGGGTCCTGATCTATCAATGTGTTTTTTTTTTTGGAGGGTACCCCTGTTTTGGTCCGGTGGTTTCAAAAGAAAACCAAACAACAAAACCACCCATATTCGAAGCCCAATTCCTAAAATACCCACCCAACTATCTATCTCTTTCTTTCTCTCTCTCTCTCTCTCTTTCCTTGGTGGTTCCCTGCCATCACCGTATCTTTTCAGCTTTTTAGCGTTTAGTCCTTGGATTTCCGAATTTGACCCACAAGTTCGTCACTTGTTTGTTTAATTGTGGGATCTGAAAACGGCGCGCCCAGTTTCTCATTTCTTCCTTTGGAGCGGCTCCCTCTGGCGAGTTCCTCGCGCAAACCCGCAGGTACAACGTGGCGCGCGCCCTCGCGCTCCTCGCCGCGGACCGCCACAGGGGGGAAGGGGATGGACGCTCTGTCGACCCCTGGCCAGGCGGCGCGCTGTTGTTTTTTTTTGGGGTCGGCCCTTTTGGAAAAAAAATGGTCGGCCCAGAAAGCAAACCCACTACACGCAAAGACCCGGCCTTTTTTTTCAGTTATGACTTTTCAGTTGGTATGACGTCAACCCTCTAAGAAAGGGATCGGAATTTACCATGGCAACCCGATCGGTTGTTCGAACAGTACCCTAGAAACAGTGGGTATCGGCCCATAAAGCAGCTAGGTGCCCTTCTCTACCGTCTAAAAACAGTTGGTACCCTTATTCTATCCTCTCTACTGGAGAACCTAGGCAAAGGCTAGTTAAACTCTCACTTTCATTTGCTGAATGAATATGTTGTATTATTGTATCCTGTTGGTTGTAAAAGGTTTTGTATCACTACTGGAAACGGTTGTTGTAGAGGGTAAATGGGAAACTAGACCCTAACTTTGTTCTTTTGGGCAATTGTAAAGGCTAGGTCCCCCAGCTAGGTGCCCTTTTACCTTTTTTTTTTTGTGGGGGAGGGTTCCCCTACTAAAATAGACCGCAGAAAAAAAAAGTTGGTAGCCTTATTCTAACCTTTCAACTGGAAGACCTAGAAGGGAAACCAAAAGAAACCCGTGGCTGTTTGACACGCAGACCTGGTGTCAGGGGCAAGCCAAGCTTTTTGAAGCTTTTGGTTTCAGTTTCGCTGAGTTGGCCCGTTGTTTTTAGCCAAGGTTTCTCAACAGATGATCCTTGTATTTGCAGGTCCCCTGCCCAACTGAGTGACAGACATATGGATTTGGGCCTTCTGAAAGTCCCTCAGTAGAAGCCCCAAGGAATACCAACCTACTGGAACCAAGACAGGCCCAATCTCACTTCCTGAGTTCCTGGACTTTAAAACGTTTTGGGAAGACCATTTTAGTGGCAAGCAAAAAAAATCAGACTGTTTTGGGCCAATGCACTCAGGAAGTGAGACAAAAGCCTTTGCAAAGCAGCCCCTTCCTTCCATCAGTGGTCCGTTCACATGGGGTCAACCAAGGGTTTCGTCTTCTGTCTGTTCCTTGGAGCGCCGCGGACAGGCAGCCAGCAAAATGTTGTTTTTTTCTTAGGGGTACCTTCCATTTCCATTCTTTTCAGGGATCCGAAAATCTTTCTAGCAAGCCTCCGGAAAACCAGGGAAAACGGATCCGGTTTTTGGAAAGAACGATGGTTGAAAAAGAATGGAAAACAAATCAACCCCTAGAATTGTCGGCCAAATCCTTCTGCCGGCGAGGAGAGGGAGAAGGCATGCGGCGAAGATACCTCGGAGATTCAGGCGGACAAAAGCGGGGGGGTTGTGAGGAGCTCTGCAATCATCCGAAACCTGTTCGTTTGATTCAGATGGCAGCCCAGATGGCACGATGGGAAGAGTCTCCCAGCCAAATGGCACAATCTGCCAAACAACCTCTGCCTCGCCAACACACCGTCTGCACATCCCAAAGGGTTGGAACAAAAGCAAGCATCACTTCGGACATGTCCTGTTTTCTTGCTGAATTACATGCTTGTTTGATGTTGGTTTGTTTGCTTGCTTGTTTGATGTTGGATTGTTTGCTTGTTTGATGTTGGTTTGTTTGCTTGCTTGCTTGATGTTGGTTTGTTTGCTTGTTTGATGTTGGTTTGTTTGCTTGCTTGTTTGATGTTGGTTTGTTTGCTTGTTTGATGTTGGTTTGCTTGCTTGCTTGTTGGATGTTGGTTTGTTTGCTTGTTTGATGTTGGTTTGTTTGCTTGCTTGTTTGTTGTTGGTTTGTTTGCTTGCTTGTTTGATGTTGGTTTGTTTGCTTGCTTGTTTGATGTTGGTTTGTTTGCTTGCTTGTTTGATGTTGGATTGCTTGCTTGTTTGATGTTGGTTTGTTTGATTGCTTGTTTGATGTTGGTTTGTTTGCTTGTTGATGTTGGTTTGTTTGCTTGCTTGTTTGATGCTGGTTTGCTTGCTTGCTTGTTGGATGTTGGTTTGTTTGCTTGTTTGATGTTGGTTTGTTTGCTTGCTTGTTTGTTGTTGGTTTGTTTGCTTGCTTGTTTGATGTTGGTTTGTTTGCTTGCTTGTTTGATGTTGGTTTGTTTGCTTGCTTGTTTGATGTTGGATTGCCTGCTTGTTTGATGTTGGTTTGTTTGCTTGCTTGTTTGATGTTGGTTTGTTTGCTTGTTGATGTTGGTGTGCTTGCTTGTTGATGTTGGTGTGTTTGCTTGTTTGGTGTTGGTTTGTTTGCTTGCTTGTTTGATGCTGGTGTGTTTGCTTGCTTGTTTGATGTTGGTTTGTTTGCTTGCTTGTTTGATGTTGGTGTGTTTGCTTGTTGATGTTGGTGTGGTTGCTTGTTTTGTGTTGGTTTGTTTGCTTGCTTGTTTGATGTTGGTTTGTTTGCTTGCTTGTTTGATGTTGGTGTGTTTGCTTGTTGATGTTGGTTTGTTTGCTTGCTTGTTTGATGTTGGTTTGTTTGCTTGTTTGATGTCGGTGTGTTTGCTTGCTTGTTTGATTATGGTTTGTTTGCTTGCTTGTTTGATGTTGGATTGCTTGCTTGTTTGATGTTGGTGTGTTTGCTTGTTGATGTTGGTGTGTTTGCTTGTTGATGTTGGTGTGTTTGCTTGCTTTCTTGCTTGCTTGCTTGCTTGCTTGCTTGCTTGCTTGCTTGCTTGCTTGCTTGCTTGCTTGCTTGCTTGCTTGTTAGCAAGCTTGCTTGCTTGCTTGCTTGCTTGCTTGCTTTGCTTGCTTGCTTGATTGCTTGTTTGCTTGCTTGCTTGACCGGTTTTTCTGGTTGTGTTTGTTTGTTTGTTTGCTTGCTTGTTTGTTTGTTTGCTTGCTTGTTTTGTTCTGCTTGTTTTGTTTCGTTTCGTTTGTTTGTTTGTGTGTTTCTTAGTGTGTTTGTTTGTTCGTTCGTTCGTTTGTTTGCTTGCTTGTTTGTTTGTGTGTTCGTTTGGCTGGTTGGTTGGTTGATTGGTTGCATGGTTTGTTGTTTGGTTGGGTTCGCGTTTGTATTCCGTTTCAGGCTATAGCCGTCGCCAGAAACGGATTACAACTTTCGCTCCGATCCCTTTGCCTGCAATTTTTTAGCGGTACGACGTTCCCGTTTAACATAACGTCGGGTATCTGGAGTAAATACCCACTTTTCAGGGCATGTGTTGGAAACCCTGATTTTCCACGAGTAGAGGGGCGGGTCCCTTAACAACAAGGGTGCAGTTTGTTCCACTGAAATTGGTGGATTTTATTGGAACACGTGTGGTTCCTAATCCTTGTTCCAGGCAAGCCACTCCGTAGGTAACCCGAAAGCATCATGAAACAACAACAGATAAGGAAGCATGGTTACCTACTAGTGGCTTGCCTAATGTTGACCCCGGATTACTAAACCCCGGTTTATTAATATGGGGGTGTTCCCTTCCAAAAGTGATAAATCCCCACTAAAACCGGGGACACCCCCATATTAATAAACCGGGTTTATTATTTCCGGGGTCAACATTACTGGGAAAGAGAAGGCCGAGGATGCGGATTCAACCCTTACTTGGAGCCCAAGACCCTAAACTTGAAGGCCTACTCCAAAGACCTTTTGGATCAGGAATCGGTTCCGCTTTTTCACGGGAAGCTCAAGTGGCGATCGTTTCAACCCAAAGCAGTCAATTCCTCAACGATTGATTTGGGGAAATCAAGTGACCATAGGTGTCATTTTTGGGGTCATTTTGGGTCATAGATGGGTTCCGCTGGTTTCGCTTGGTTCTCCCCATTTGCCAGGGGAACCCATCCCATTTTTACCCAACAGGTCGCCAGTGACCCAGTGACCCCGTCGCTTCCCTCCCGAAAGCCTGGGCCCCGTAGGCGCTGAACGAGGAAAAGGTCAGCGCTTTGCGGTCGGCGCGGCGGCTAAAGCCGCGGCACAGCGGGTGCTTGTACCGCCTCGGCGCCTCTGTCTGAAGATTTTGGCACCAGGATACCTTGCTTCCATTTGCTTAAGATTTTTTTCACGGCACTAGGTGCTATTTTCCCCTAGTGGGATTGGTTGGAATCGATAATTGTTGCCCCCTTGTTTGGGGGATCCTTGCCCTTGACAGGAGCATGTGTCTACATCAGGGAAGAAGAACGGACGACACCATTCAACTTACACCAGTTGGTTTGGCATGTTTTTTTTTTTTTTTTTCCGCCTTGTTTTTCGCGGCTCAGTGTGGTTGAGGAATTTGCTTGCAGCACGGGCATCCACTTGAGCAGCGCCGTAAACCCTGACAATACAAAGTAGTAAAGGGGGGTGTCCTATAGAATCCCCGCGAAAGCCAAAACGCAGGCCGCGAAAGCTGGCGAAAGCTTATCGCGAAAGTAACCAAAGAAGGTCCCGCCGCGAAAGACCCGCGAAAGCCTGCATGCTGTGTGACGGTCCGCCGCGAAAGCGTCGCGAAAGCAATTCTAAAGAAACCAAAGCCCGCGAAAGCAAAACATGGGGTCGCGAAAGCATCGCGAAAGGGTCCGCGAAAGCAAGTTCATAGGACCGCTTTTTACACAAGAGTATTTGGCACGGCTCACTTGAGTTCCTTCCGCACTTCATGGTTGTTGTTGGGAAACATCTTTCCTCCATGTTTGAGCTTATTGTGGTTTAGTGGTTGGAATCCCACTTAGCTTTTTTTTTAAGTTTTTTTTGTTTAAATAAAATTAAAAAAAATAATAAAACCAATACAAATAAACAAATGTTGCTCCCCAAGCCCAAACGTCAACAAGACTTGTTCCAGGCTCCTTTGCAGAAAGCCGGCAGAAACCAAAGGAACAGCTGGCTGTTGGTTGAGAGAGCGCCGGTGGAACATCCCTATGCTCCAAATATGTTTTATTTATTTTTTTCTCAGTTGTTTTTCTTTCTTTCTTGTTCTTATGTTTTTTTTCCATTTGTTTTCCTATATTTTTTTTTCTCCCGGGTTGACACGGTACCCATACAAAAGAGACGGGTACTTGGAGTAGCGGGGATGGAAAAGGAATCAAACGCTGGGCCCACCACACCCCATGTAAAATCTGGAGGTAGCCATACCTGTTTATGTGCTACAGCGGCTTGCCTGGAAACACTGGCTTAGTCCCATTCCGGGCTTGGAAAAGGATTTCCTTGCTTTTTGCCTGAAGTTTCTTTTCTGGAATTTCTATAATCACGTACAGGTTTCCCCAGAATTAGCTCTTTTTTTTGCTTTTTTGCTTTCTTGGGGGTCCCTATGTCTTCCGCTCACCCGGCGGTTTTGTTGTTTGCTGGGGTCCAAAAAATATCCAGGCAAGCAGAGAAGCAAGAAACACCAGGCAGCTCCCCGCCCTCCGCCCTCCGAGTTCCACGCAGCTCGGGCCTTCGGCTCAGGAATGAGCCTCAGGGAAGCTGGGCAGCAGGAGGAAGCGGGAGAGGCGAGGTGCTACTTTCGCTTCGATTGGACTCAGTTTCACTTCCTTTGCTTCATGAACTTTAAACTTTTCGGGGTTGGACCATTTTAGTGGTAAATATACAGTTTGGACTGTTTTTGGGCCATCCACTCAGCAAGTGAGCAGTTGTTCAAAGACGACCGGATCTGACCTTTTGGTTTTCCCATTTTGGGTTCCTACTTTTAGTAGAGGTCCCAAAAGGTGATCACCTTTTACTTCCAGGTCCTTTGGGCAAGTGAGTTTCTGTTGGCGCTTAAAGGGAATCTATCACTAGTTGAAAGGACACATTGTCATATCTTCGTTTATTTGTCTATTCATTTTTGGGGCTTGCTCACTACCAAGCGGCCGTTTTGGTTTTCCGTTTTGGGGTTCCCAGTTTCTCACTTTATGAGTTCCTGGACTTTGCGCTTTTTGGGAAGACAATGTTGGCGGTAAATAAACAAGTGTGGACTTTTGTTTGGCCCATCCACTCAAGAAGTGAGTTTTTAGGCACCCCAAAAGGTGATTACCTTTTAAGCAACCAGGTCCGGGTATAGCCTGCATGGCCGTCTCAGAAACAGAATGGGTTTTGGGCTCACAGATTTCCCCCCGTGTGGCAGGCGTTGGACGAGTTCCTTCAAGTCGCGCGCAACGACCACAGTCGCTGCGGTAAACGTCGCGCCTCGGTCAACCTCAGTTCCCCCCTGTTCGGGAATGTATGGGAGATTCACGATTTGGGCATGTGGGGGATTGGTGTTTTGGGGGTGTCTTTTGGTTCCAGTTGTTTTTGTTGATCCTGCAAACGCACCGCCCTCCGATTTCCTGGCCCAGAAAATGCCATACGCCCGTACGCCCGTACGCCCGTCTTGCGAGTGCCATGCTTTCTACCCTTGTGCCTGGTGAAATTTTGCCCCCATCAAAATCATTCGCCCAAGCGCTGAACTACCCGATGTTGTAAATGCCAAGCAACATTTCGGCTGGATTCCTTTTTGAAGGGACCCCTGAGCAGCGGCCTTTTTGGCAGGGGGAGGTTGCAGGGAGTCCCGATGGGGCCTTTGTGTGATGCTGCTTCAATACGGGGTGCACCCTCGCCAAAACAGCTGATGGGTGTCCATTGCCCTCAAAAAACAATCGCGCACACACACACAAAACACAAACAACCAACCAAACAAACAAACAACCAAACAAACTAAAAAGTAAACACGCAATATATATATATATATATCTATACATATATTTCTACATAACCATCACAGCAACCACCCCTCTTGCGCTGTGCCCGCGCCAGGCATCCTTCACAAAGTCAAGGCCCGCCCACCCGCCCCCCCCCCCCACACCCCGAAATGCTCAACTAAACTAGGGGGCCAATAGAAAATGCAGTGTATCGTTGGGACGACTTCCTTTCAGTGCCTTTTGTTTTCATTTATCTTTTCTTTTTATGGGGGGGGGCCCATGCACACTTAGAGCATATGCAGCCAGGACGCCTAAACACCAAATGCCCGAAATGCAGGAGGTTGCAAAATGAGGGCGTCTTGTTTTTAGGGGACCCACCTGATGGGTTGTTCTTCTGGCTTCCCTTTAACACCAACCAAAAATATACCAAAAAGAGGATGTCCTCAAAAGAAGACAGACCCATATAGACCCACGTGTCCTCCTTTTTGGGTCCAATCCTACGGGTTGTGGGCGCTGGAGGCAGCGCGGGGGCGCAGCACTGGCTGGCGGTGCTGCGGAAAGAGACCACCGCGACCGCTCCCGCGGAGTACGTTGCGGGGCTCTTCGATTGCTACGCCGAGCGCGGCTCGGCTCGGAGATCGGTGGGGAGAAGTGGAGCGAGCCGCTTCGGATGCTTCTTACTTTTTTCTGATGTTTAAGGGTGGGAGTACATACGAATTGTTCATACCCCTTGGCTTCCGCGGTTTCCAACCCGCTTTGTAAGACCATTCGAGTGGCTAGGTCCTCCAGCTAGGTGCCCGACCTCTCACCCCTTTCTTGTGGGAGATTCGGTTCCCCTACCAAAAGAGACTATGCAGAAAAAGTTGGTACCCTTATTCTAGCCTCTCTACCGGAGGACCTAGTTCTCACTTCCTGATTGATTTAGGGCCTTACAACTTGGTGTTGAGATCCCCAAACACCAAAAGTGTCTAATGAAGGGGTCGGGTCTTCCGTTGAAAGCCGAAGCCAGGAGTCTCTGGGTAAACAACCTGGACCCCCAAAGTACCTTTTTTTTTGCCTTTGTACCCCTTTTTTGGGGTCAAAGGCAGAGAAAAGGGGTCCTTTGGGGGTCCAGGAATCACCAGCATGTGTTTGTTTTGGGGGCGGGCTGGGTTAAAGTTGTTGCAGGTCGAAACAAAATATCATTCGGTTTCAGGACTTTTTTCTGATGCAGTGGGACGCTTCTGACTTCTACGAAAGCGAATCGACCGACCGATCGATCTGATGGTATTTCCCCTTGTGGGTTCCCATGTTCTCACTTCCTGAGTTCCATTTCGGACTGTACACTTTTTAGGAAGACAACTTAGTAAATGTAAACAACAATTTGGACTTGTTTTGACCAATCGTCAGCCGTAGCTTCAACCAGGTTTTCAACTGACTGAACGAAGTGGGTGTTTGGAGTAGGAGCCAAGCTTTAAGACATTTCTGATTCCTGCCGTCAACTGTATGGTTAGGAACCAGCTGAATTGACCGGGCATCGAATTTGGAGGGGTGAAATCTGGGAGAAAAACGCCGTTTGTGTGAAAAATGAGGGCCCAGGAATAAATGTGAATATTTCGAAATCGATTCCCTTCAAAGTCAACAGTGGGAACTGTTTAAATACTCATTTCAGCAAGTGGACGACTTGTTCAGGGGTTGGCGTGACTGCTAGGGCCCTGAGCAATCCGAAGCTGATACTAAGCCCTGCTCCATACAACACCCCATCTGGTATGGCATGCGGATAAACAATTGCCAGGTTTTCCTGGGTAAATACCGATCCATTTTTTAGCGAAGGGTTGACACCGTGCCCTATCCTACCCTGCAAACCGGGTGGGTCTTGGGTGCATCACAAAAGGGGGGCCTTTGGCCCACCCACATGTAGCCGCCGGCGGGTCCCTTTTTAAAGGAACATAGTCTTCCAGGACTCCTCTGAGGTTCCGTGTCTGCGGATGGGAGTGGCTAGCCGTGACGGGCACGAGTTAGGAAGTTAGGAATTGGCTCTAGCCCTACCCAGAGGCTCCCGATTGATTTGGGGCCTTCAAACAATCTGGTTTTGAGAGCCCCAACCATCCAATGGAAGCCCACCCTGAGTTCCCGTTACAGCTGACCAATGCTCCCCAAACTCTGAATCAGTGCGATGGCCCCCCAACGCGAAGACCAAGGAAAGATTGGTCGAGTATACCAAAAGTGGTCGAACACTCGGTCTTGGGCGAAAACAACTCACCTGCCCCAAGGACCCAGAAATACCAGGTCAACCATTTGGGGCCATGACTGGAAATGGACCACAAAGGGAAAACCAAATCGTTTTTTGGCAATTGAGTGGGAATTGCAACTTCCTGAGTGATATTTCCTGTCTAATCAGGGCCTGACATAGCCTCTCCTAGGTCCCGCAGTAGTGCCCTTTTACCCTTTCTTGTTTTGGTTGGGAGGGTTCCCCTACTAAAATATATAGACCACAGAAAAAAAGTTGGCACCCTTATTTTAATCTCTCAACTCTGGAGGACCTAGTCTCATATCTGGCCATGGGCAAAACAAATGCCGGGCCACACGGTTGGTTTCCTTTGTTCTCGGCCGGCCCAAGTAAGGGGCAAGCGAGTTACGCCGCCGCCGCCAAATACCCGTTTTTGTTTTTGTCACATATATATATATATATATGTACACGTTTCGAAGGCCTGGTTTTCCGGGTTATGTTGTCAGGTTTTGCCATCATTCCCCATCATACCCTGACAAAAGTGGGTGTTGGGTGATTACAGGGGGACAAACCATCGCCCGATGACCGTGAGATAAGTTGGTGCGACAGTTTCCCCAACCCAATTTAACGATTTAGGTCCCACTCCAAATCCATTTGTTCAAGGAATCGTCAAAGAACCTGAAACAGGATTGGGCTGTTTCAAGAAATTGCCCCGGACACTGAGGCTACCTCAGGTTTTGAAAGGGTTTGCCCCTGCGGTTTCCCTCAACGAGGTTTGAAGGGCAGATGGTTTGAACCGTCTTTCTTCTTGAAGTTTGACGTGGAAATCCGACAGAAAGGACTTACTTTCAAGAAGTGTTTCGCAAGGTTGATGCATTGCTGTTTGGCTTGCGCGGAGCTGTCGTTTTCCCGTTACGGTGTGGAGGGGTCAGTTGTCTGGGGTTACCTTACCTTGCCTCACCTTTGAGCAACCACAAACCTTTGATTTGTTCCGGTCTGTGCAATGAAGAGAGTGCTTCAAGTTTCCCCAAGCAAGGGAAGCTCATATTTTTCAGGTTACCCAAAGGGGAACCAATCTGGACGGGTTCGGTCAGGTGTCAAATGCCCCTATGTAGCACCCAGCACAAAGATTTTGCCGGCGCCCCTTTCGAATCCCAGAGGCTCCAATTCGATTGATTTAGGGCCGTTGTGTCTAATGGAGGGGTCTTCCATTGAAAGCCGAAGCCAGGAGCCTCTGGGGATCTACAAAACTCTGGCAACCCTTTGTTGGCGGTTTGGATTCGTGGTTCGGATTTGGATTTGAACTCCCTGTATAGGTACATGGACACCACCGCTGACATCCAAACCACCAATCCGGACCACCAATCAGAGGGATAAGCTCTGGCGCTCCTTGTTCCGTATCCACCAGAGGTTTGGGTGCTTGTCGCAGACTTATTTGGCTTAATCCATCGCAAACCCACCCACCTTCAAACCAGCCAACAAAGCCAGAGGTCAGGCCCCAAAACAAATCCTATGTCATGTAAACGTCATTGCCCGTTGCTATGCAGCTAGACGTGTGTTTGCCAAGTGGGAAGAGCTGCTCCGTGTCACTGCCTTCGCTGGATTCCAGGGTCCGCGAGCTGAAGACTGAGGCACAACGGCAATTTAAGCGCCGCTTCCTGAGGCTTGCTTTCAGAGGGCAGCAGCTAGATCCATCCTCTAAGTTGAGTGACGTGGGCGCGCGAGATGGTGACAGCATTGATGCAGTGGTGCAGCCAGTGAAGATAGCTTCCACAATTCAAGCACACGTACTCTATGTTGCTGGAGGTGCTGCGCTTACATGGGGCACTCCACTCAGTGGCGGTGACAGGGTACAAGAGCAGCTGGTGCATGTCCGACAGATCAAAGCAACTGTTCGCGCTTTTGCGGCCCTTCTGGACAACGGCTCTGTGGTGACTTGGGGTGATCCTCAGTATGGCGGTGACAGCAGCCAGGTGCAACAGCAGTTGGTGTGCGTTCAGGAAATCCACGCAACTGCTCGCGCTTTTGCTGCCATCGTGGGTGATGGCTTTGTGGTGACTTGGGGCAGTCCTGCCGATGGCGGTGACAGCAGCCAGGTGCAAGAGCAGCTGGTGCGCGTCCAGCAGATCCAAGCAACTGACTTTGCTTTTGCTGCAATCCAGGGCGATGGCTTTGTTGTGTCTTGGGGCCATGGTGGCTCTGGCGGTGACAATAGCTCGGTTCGAGAGCAGTTGGAACACGTCCAGCAGATCCAAGCAACTCGTTTTGCCTTTGCTGCGATCCTGGAGGATGGCAGTGTGGTAACTTGGGGCCATCGTGACTATGGCGGAAAGAGCAGCCAGGTGCGAGAGCAGCTTATGCGTGTCCAGCAGATCCAGGCAACTGTTCGAGCTTTTGCTGCCCTCCTGGAGAACGGCTCTGTGGTGACTTGGGGCGATCCTCGGTATGGCGGTGACAGCAGCCAGGTGCGACAGCAGTTGGTGCATGTCCATCAGATCCAAGCATCAGCGTTTGCTTTTGCTGCCATCCTCGACGACAGCTCTGTGGTGACTTGGGGCCAGCCTGATCATGGCGGTGACAGCAGTCAGGTTCGAGAGCAGTTGGTGCGCGTCCAGCAGATCCAAGCAAATGCTCGAGCTTTTGCTGCCCTTCTGGACAACGGTTCCGTGGTGACTTGGGGTGATGCTGACTGCGGCGGTGACAGCAGCCAGGTGCAAGAGCACTTGGTGTGCGTCCAGCAGATCCTGGCATCCGGTTTTTGCGCCTTTGCTTCCATCTTGGAGGATGGATCTTTGGTGACGTGGGGTGATGCTGCCTTAGGCGGTGACACCAGCAAGATTCAGTCTCAACTGGATTGGTTGTGACTGGCCAAGTGCCACCAACAACTTGACAAAACCAGGTGTCTGTTGCCAAACGCCGGGCATGGGGTGTGTGGGTCTTCGTTTGGGTGCCCATGTGGTCCAGGTCCGCGGATCCCGGCGAAAACCTCAGAAAACGGGGGTTTTCCTGCCCCAATTGGGCGGCTGGGGCCGCCCGGGCACTCAAGGAACCGGGAAGGACCAAACAAGTGCCCTTCCTGAACCCACAAACTACCCGCAAAAATGGTGACTGTCCCAAATTTATGGGGTGTTTTCCCTTTGTTCATGGGTAGTTTGAGGATCCAGGCTGAGGTCATGTTCCATTTTGCTTGCAATGCTTTGGTGCGTTTTGCTTGGATGTTGGGACTTTAACTTTTTGCCAACTCATGGGTTTTCCGTATCAAACCACTAAAAAATATTCACTTTTAGCAGAAAAAAACCAAGAATGGGTTGTTGGTATTAAAGGGAATCTATCACTACTGGAATTATGTTTATTCTTTCCATGGGACTTAAGCAAATGGAGGTAATGAGTGTCTTGAAAATTGCGAAAGCGAATCGCCCTTTTGACATGTGTCTGCTTTGTCCATATTTGGCCCCAGAAGGTGCTCGCCTTTGACTTCTGAGTCCAATCTGGGATTCAAATCATTTCACTGCAGCCAGGAGAGCCACCAGGACAAAACAACAATACCTACCCTCTACTGAAACTACCCGCTTTTTTCAGGGTATGTTTGGGAGAACCTGGTTTTCAATGGTAAATACATCCTTTTTGATAAAAGCCGACATCATACCCTGAACAGAGTGGGTATTGGGTGTAGGGGGTACCCTTAAGAAAGGGAAGTCACAACCCAAAGTTTGGTTTTCGGCGGTTTGTTTTGTCTCGGGTCCAAGCACCCGTTCGCGTGAGGGCGCGTTTCAAGCCTGTGACCTGAGCTGCCTCACTCGTTTGGACGCCTCACTCCCAGCGCGTTTTAGCACGACGATTGCGTTTTTTTGACGTTTGCTTGGTGGTGCGATAGGTAGGGATGGGAATGAACCCAGACCTTGGCCCTCTAGGAAACCACCAGTTGGATGGTTTATGGGTGTCATTCCATTTCTCTTCCTCTGAGCACTAGCAAGTTTTAAACGTTTGGGCTACTTGATAATGACGTTTTATGGCGCCACATGTGCTTGCTGGACATGAGTTCCCCCTGCTCAAAATACCAAGGCTTTTTTCAGGGTATGTTTGGGAAAACCGGGTTTTCCATCGCAACACCTACTTTTTCAGTAGAGGGTCGACATGACACCAACTGAAAACGAGCGTATTTGGAGGTTAACGGGGGTTTTCTAGGTCACCAAAGGGTCCCTGAACATCGATACACATCTCTCAGCTGTCCGGGCCGGGGTGAGCTGATCTTAGATTCTTTGGGCAGGCGAAAGGCGAAAGGCTTTATGGGATTCCCACCCGCCCAAGAAGCAAACCTGGAGTCTCCCTCTGACCCAAGTGAAAAATGGGTCAATGACCCCATTATTTTGGGTAGCTTACCTCTTCAAAACACAACTTTTCAACTTTTTGGGTAACATGAGCTATATGTCTGTAAAAGATTAACTTCCCCAGGGCTGGGAGTTTTAAGGGGCAAGTTAAGGGTCTGGAGAGACTACACGCTTGCGATGGGCTTGTCATTCGGGGTTTCCCTGCGCTGGTTTTCTAGATCTTACTCTGCTCGGTGAGGTGTTGAGCCTGTGATGTGCCACCAACGCATCGCCAAACCAAAGCTGTTGATCACCCGGGCACCTTCGCTGCGAAGCGCCTCGGTTCTTCTTCGGCGCTCCTCGGCGCTCCTGAAACGAACCGAGGCTTCGACGAGCACTTGGTGGGGGCGTTGGAGTATCGCACCCCTGAACTCTTGGAGGAGGAGTTAAAACAGGCGCAGTTTAGGGACCCGAAGCCTTGAACCCGCCGGAAACGGTACTCTCTTCCGAGAGGTCCCTGGTTTTTTTGATGGCATACATGTCTGCTTTACTATTCACTTAATAATATGGTATTTTCTCACTTCCTGAGTTGGACTTCTTTTTTTTTGGCAGACGCATCCACTCAGCTGGCTGATCTACTTGCCATATCTTGCAATAGTTCGTTCGCGTCCGCCGCAACCAGCCAGTTTCCGCTTCGCCAAAAGAAGGATGGTCAAGAGGGTGAACGCAGAGACCGGGGCTTTGGCATTGTACTTGTTTTTCCTTTTCCTGGGCTGAAATTCACTCGGGGTATCCTCCATTTCCCTCTCAAGCTCCCGCAGCGTAGGTGGAAGCCACTGGTAAGTTGAGCAACTTTTGAAGGGGGAAATCCGTGGACCCCTGTCACTTGGCTGCTATCCAGTTGGATGTTTAACTTTTCGCATCCTTTGACTTGTTGAGCTTGTTTCCCGAAGCAGCAAGCAGTGATACGTCTTGAAAGCAGGGCGCATTCTTTCTTAGACCTTTTTCCAGGCGGTTTGCCTTTTCGTGGTTTGCACCTTCCTCACCGGATTTCGACTCGAAATGGATGCCTCCCTGCCCACAAAAGGATTTCTGGAGGTGGCTTGTGTGTTTTTGGATTTGGATCCCCCCCAACGTGTGTGGCTTTCCTTTTGGTTTCGCATTCCAAAAAAAGACCCTCCTGAGGCACCATGAATTTGGGGCACCCCTGCTTCTCTTTGTTGAATTGCTCATTTCTTTTTTTTGGGGGGGGCTTTACTGCCACCGGGCCATAAAATGGGAGAGGTGTACCCCCTACTCATAATACCTGCTTTTTTCAGGGTATGTTAAGGAAAACCTGGTTTTCCATGGCAAACACCTCCTTTTTCAGTAGAGGGTCGACATGATACCCTGAAAAAAGTGCTGGGTATTTGGAGGTTAACGGGGGTAGCCAAAGACGTGGGAGAAAACAAATCACAGATTCGCAGATCACCGTTTTGCCTCCCCTCCAGGGTGTTTTTCTTGTTTGCAATCTGAACTTTTGTCTCACTCCCCAAGTTCCGTTTTGGACTTTAGTCACTTTTTCGTTGATTCGGAAGGGGTGTCGAATAGACAGATTGCTTTTGCCGAAAGATGAGACACCAAGATGTTCGTTGCCAAATGAGTGGTTACGGATTCCCCTCTTGAAGAAACTGGTTCCCCAAAAGTGGCAAACACACTGCCCAGGGCAAGTAACCCAGATGCCATGTTTCGATGTTTGAAAGTTGATACGTGGCTAGCAAATTCGTTTACAAACCCCAATCGTACTACTAGGTCAATCATAGGTCAATCCCACTGAACGGGGGGCTTATTAGTGGGTTGATGTGGGTTGTGACCTTAGGTTACCCTTACATCTTCTTAGCCACTGAAATTGCGCGCCCAGCGGCCTGGCGGGTGTCTCGTTTCGGCCGCTTACAGGGGCGACCGATTCGGTAGGTCAGGCAAGTGGGAAATAACCCACTGAACGGAGACTTATCACCATGGTAAGTGGATGTAAGCGGGTTTTAACCCCTGCCCCTTTCAGCACTCGACAGGTTTGGAGTTGTGGGTTGTAAGATCTTTAAAGTGACACCCTGCCGCGACACGCCCACCCGCCGACGGAGCCTGTGACAGACAGATGTGACAGCCCGAAGCCTGCGGCTTGGCCGGTGCCGTGCAAGTGTGAGGCGGCGAGAAAGGTCTATAGGGAGGGGAGAGAGGGGAGAGAGAAAGAGAGAAAGAGAGACAGCTACGGCATATGCAGGCCTTGACCATGCCATCACACACTCTTTACTTTTGCAGGAATGCTTGCTGGTAAAGGGTGGAGAAATGGGTGTTGGGATGTGGTGGTGGGCTGGAGAAGTAACCCGTGATCGCCTGTCCGCTGCCTGAGGCTCCTGCCAGTGGCCGGGCCAGGACAGCCCTGACAGCAAACCAAGCAACCAGGCAGTTCATCAGCGTGGGAATAGCCTTCGTCTACTGAGCCCTTTGAGGGAACCGCTTTTTCTTCTGGCTTTCAATGACAACTCACCTTTTGGGGCGTCCAACAAATACACAAAGACAAACAGACAAACAGACAATCAAGCAACCAACTAACCAAGCAACGAACAAACAAACAAAGAAAACCAAGCAAACAACTAAATAAACACTCAAACAAACAAACAAACAAACCCACAAACACCCACACACACACAACACGCACACATACACGACACACACATACACGACACACACGCGACATACACGTGACACACACACACACACACGTGACACACACACACACACACACGTGACACACACACACACACGCGACACACACACACACACGCACGTGACACACACACACACACGTGACACACACACACATACCTGACCCACACACACGTGACCCACACACACACACACACACACGTGACCCACACACACATGACCCACACATACGTGACCCACACACGTGTGACACACACACACACACGTGCCACACACGTGACACACACACACGTGACACACACGCGCGTGCACACGCGTGCGCGCACATGCACACGCGCGCACGCGCACGCGCGCATGCGCACACGCATACGCGCACACACGCGCAGACGCACGCACACGCACGCGCACGCGCACGCGCGCACAGGCAGACGCACAAGCACACGCACAGGCACGCGCACGCGCACACCCGCGCACCCACCCATCCACCCGCCCGCCCTGCGCATGCGCACGCGCGCACGCACGCACGCACGCAGGCACGCAGGCACGCACACACACGCAGGCACGCAAGCACGCAGGCACGCACGCACGGAGGCACGGAGGCACGCAGGCACGCACGCACGCACGCACGCACGCACGCACGCAGGCACGCAGGCACGCAGGCACGCACGCACGCAGGCACGAGCACACGAGCGCACGAACGCGCGAGCGCGCACGCGCGCGCGCACGCGCACACGCACGCACGCACGCACGCACACGCACGCGCACGCGCACACACGCGCACACGCACGCACGCACACATGCACACAAGCACACACGCACACACGCATAGGCACGCACACACGCATAGGCACGCACACACGCATAGGCACGCACTGAAGCCACAAGGGCAAACGTCGCGAGAAATAAAAAACAAAAAGACAATCTTACCACGAAGGTCCGGCAGGGCCATGCGGGGATTCTTCAAACCAGGTGGTAGACTTACCCCGCAGTCTGCAAGTAGTATGGCATTCAGCTCGCGCTGCGCCACTTCAGGGCGCGCCCCGTCTTTTCGGGAAGGCGAAATCCATGGTTAAGCAGTAAGCAGCTGGTGTAAGCAATGTTTTGCCAACCCAGGAACGCGAGAACATCTACAAGCTATTAAGGGAAAAATCGCGTAATCCACGGCGCCCAGTCAGTGCTAGCTCGCGCAATGGCCCGATTGCCAAGACACCGTGAGATCAGTTGCATGTGAAGACCAGGATATAGGGGCCTTGTAGGCTGTTTGCTGCGCCGCTTCCGGCAGAACCTTTTTGCCGGGAAACCGCGCGCTGGTGATCTCTCACCAATCCTTCGGCTTTTTGCGTCAGGAGGTCTTGTGCAAAGCCCATCTTTTTCGTGCAGCAGCAGGCGACGCGCGTGATGGATACGCAAATGCCCAGATATGAGTCTCGCGTGGCGTGCCGGCGAGGCCAAGAGTTCGTTGCAGTTGGACTTCGGCTTTTGCGTCGACCTGGGCTGCGGCACGGGGCTGATGGGCCCCCGCTTGCGCAAGCTGGGGGTGGAGAAGTTGGAAGGGGTGGATCTGTCCAGGAACATGCTGCAGGCGACGGGATGGTGGGGGTTCGCGGGAGTGGCGCTTGGATGCTCAACTTGTTTGGTAAGTATTTTAAGTAGAACCACGGTTCCACATTGACATGGGTTATTGAGGTTGTTCCCCTTATAGCTGCTGTGTTACTTTAGCTTGAGCATCCAAGTATGTGTTTGCTGTATGTCTTGGTGTTAGCTGCATCGTTGGACGGTGGCATGCTGGTGCTTTGCCTTGCAATGTAGCATTCGACATCAGCGGGCGGTCGGTCCGGCGTCCTGACACCCCATGGCTGTCGTTGCAGACAGCCAAAAAACTTCTATTTGTCTAAGAATAGTTTTGAATTCCCTTTCTGTTGGTTTTATAGGGAAGCTATCACTACTGGACATATGTTTTTTCCAGGGGACTTAAGCAAATATTGGACTTAAGCAAATATTGGAACATATCATGGTTTTTCCTGTTGGATTAGGATTGCTTAGGGTTACCCTTCAAACCACGTAGCTTTGATTTGCACTGTCAGGCCCGATGCATCCGAACATGTTAGAATTTGGGCAGCCTTTGCGCTCGCTGTTCCCATGCGCTTGCTGAGGGGTTGCATTGCCTTTGCGGCCCGACTTTGACCCTCCCTGCGGTCGGAACCCGTGAGTAAACCCTTGGTAAGGGGGATTTCCAGTTGACATCCGAAAGCCCGCAGCTGCCGTTGAGACCTCCGATTTCACTCCACAAACAACCGGAATTAACGTTCGTTGGCCTTAGCGATTAAAATGCAACCCAAAGGCGAGGCAAACGTTTTTGAGTTTGGCTGCTATGTTGGTTCTTGTGTGCCTTGATTGACGACCTTCCCGGACCTTCCCTTCTAAGCAAGAACGCATCATGTTATGCGAGTTATTGTATGTTACAACATTCAAATACTGTGGCTGGCTGCAAAATCCATTTCGCACCACCAGTCTCCAATGTAAATACCAACAAACGTTATGGTTTTACTTGGTTTTCAAGTGGTGCGAAATTGATTTTGTCGACAGTATCCGGAACCCTTTTCAACCAATACGGGCGCCTCAACTCATCCAGGTTGCCGAAGGGAAGTTTGGAGGTGAGTTTAGGCGGTAAACCCCATCTTCTGTCAAGAGCCACATGGTTCAGATCCAAATCCACATTATTCACTGTTCTTGGCATGTTTTTTTTGGTTTTTAGTTTTTTTGTTCTGTTCATTTTTACTGGGGGGGTTGCAAGAAACAGTCAGTTTTTCGCCAGCCCATGCCAAGAGTAGAGATGATTACTTCGGGCTGAATTCAGCTCGCTGGATCCCGGCTCGGTGTGGGCGGGGGCGGGGCGGCGCTTGCCCGGCAAGCGTGCTGGTCTTATGGATCCACTGGGGCAGGGTACATCGGAAAAGTAGTTCTTGGTGAAGACACGCTGAGAGACTTCTACCCTTCAAGCAGGGTTCCTTAGCCGTATATGATCCCCCCTCCCATGGGACCTGATCTGCCCTTTCGGTACCCGATCTGCCCTTTCGGTACCCACGGGCTTCAACTTTGCTTGACTGGGCAACGGATCTTTAGACTTTAACTTTTTGGTTGAAATCAAGTTGGGTGTTCCACCAAAGCCCCAAAAAGTGAAGCTCACTTTTTGCAGGGGGGTCCTTGCAGCAATCAGCTTTTCGTCAGGTGGCCGAGGAGAAGCAGCGAGGCTATGACCGCTTGGTCTGCGGCGACTTGTTGGAGCTTCTGTCGCAAGAGTTGGACCTGGTGGTTGCTGCGGATGTCTTCGTTTACCTCGGCGCCTCGCCGCAGGTTGAGTTTGTTTCTACATCCCTCTGGTTCACCTCGGCTTTCGCCTGGGTGGTTTGGATTGATTTCTATTTTATCTCTCCACAAGAGCTTGGGGCTCAACTCCAAATCCAAGCCGCAAATCGAAACCATCAATTGGGGTTTGTTTGATCATTGGAAGGGAGCTGTAGCTGGTCCCGGTAGCTTCGGGACCTCCACTTTCTGGACTTGAAAGTTGTTGGGAAGATCGATCTAGAACACAAGTCTGGACTTGGGGCCAATGCACATGGTGCTAATGGGCCATGATGCATGCAGAACCCCTTTAGTGATGAAGCAGGTCATGGAACGATCATACTGGTGACACAGAAATGCATTTTTGCACAAGCGTGCCGCTTGCTGCCAGCATCTGCACCCCCGATGTCAACATCGAAGGAATTAAAAGGGAGCCCTGCTGTTCATGTTCCATGGTTTCCCTTGGTGGGCAAATGGGGAACGTACAATCATGAGCCGCATGTTTCGTTTGGTCTTGTCGAAGGCCAATTTGTTTGGACTGCTTTGTTGACTGGAACCCAGATGAAAGATGACACGTCCAAAGCGCCGCTTTTTGTGTTGACCGGCGATTTGTGCTTTGGCGGAAGTCCCGTCCAAGAAGCAGTGGCCCGGTGCGATCTCTGCGGCGACGGCGACTTCCTGAGGGCTGCCAGTGGCACCCATAGGGTGTCCTTTTTGGTTTGTTTTGGCAGAAAAATAGAGGGCGATTCCTGGTTTACCTGGTTGAAGCATCCACCAGGGGAACCCATCTATTTCCCCTAAAAGGACACCTATGGTGGTACATGTTTCACCTACTTCCGGGTGCCAAGTTGCCATCGCTTTTTTCAGTCACTGTTGCGATCGGCTTTTTGGGTAAAGCTCATGGAAAAAGAAAGCGATAGCAACTGGCGATCCAGGCAAACAATATCAGGGATGGGTCCCCTCGTACGAACAGTTCCGCTCAAAACAAGTAGTCTGGTGGTTGCAAGGGAGCTGGGGCGTGTCCAAATTCGGTGAAAAGGAGCCTTTCAGAGCTAGGAACGACACCAACATTCCTCTTTTTACAGACCTCCAGTGGCTTTTCTTGAAGGTTGCCGTGAAATCAGCTACCACAAAAGGGTGCCCTTTGTCGCTATCCCCCTTTGAACTCAAATACCAAAAGGAGCGTTTCCGCTGTGTGTTGTGTCCGTCTTAGGGAATCCATGTTTCTGTCTGGTTGGGCGTTCCCCTGGAACGAACCCCTTCAAACTGAACAAGGTTTACAACCATCATTTCGGGAGTCCCCAAAACAAAGTTACCGTGATGCTTTTGTGGGTAACCAGGGTTATACCTAGAGTCTCCATGACCCTTAAAAAATGGGCTTAATTTTGGGTAATGACCCCATTTGTGAAGGGTCATGGAGACTCTAGGTATACATAAATCACAGATACCCTCTCCAAGCACCTTTGAAAAATCAAAGGTTCTCGAAAACAAAAACCGGGTTCGCAACAAACCTTTCTTTTGAAATCTGAAAAGCAAAACTCAGCTTTCGCTCTTCTTCAGGTTTAACCACGTAGAATCTACTATTAAACATGGATACCTTTTTCGGATTTGTAGGGGTATAGGTACGGATACCTATACCCTTCCATTTGCTTAAGAATATCTGTTTCCTCTCCTCTTGGTTTTGGGAATCGAGTTCACTGCTGGACATATGTGTCTCATATTTTCCAGGGAGGGCGACAAAAGGTTTTCAAGGGAGTCGATTTCATTACTGGACATATGGGTGTGGCTCAAAATTAAACAGGAGTGGTTACGCAGGTTTTGATCCATGTTTCCACTTGCCAGGGTTGATTTTGGTACCGGTATGTTCGAGCCACAGCCATATGTTTCTCATATTTTCCAGGAGACAAAAACAACAACAACTGGAAGCACCGCACAGTTTTTGGGGCCCGACAGGCTTCGGGGATTTTCTTCGTCCGCGCGGCGCGCTCCACGCGATCGAGCTGCAGGCGACCTCCAGCCGGTGCTCGCGGCCTGCGGCCGCTGCCTGCGGCCCCGGGGCCTCGCCGCCTTCTCCACGGAGGCGCCGCCGCGGCGCGGCTCCGCCAACGAGGAGGCGCTCGGCACTTGGGCGGAGGGGGCGGAGGGTGGGAGGGTGGGAAGTCAGTTCTTCCCCAGAGTTAGCTTAAGTGCTAATTCCAGCCAAGTGGAGAGGTCCTCGTTTTTTTTTTTTCCGGAAGCTCCAAGAACCAAGGCTGTTTTCAGGGTATGATTTTTAATTTTGACACCTTACCAAAAAAGGGATGGGGAGTGGAGAGGTCCATACGGGTGTGTTACGCAGGTTTTGGTCCATGTTTGCATTTACCAGGGTTCCATTTTGGGTGCATATGTTTGGCCCGCAGCCAGATGGTTGCGAAATCCATTTCGCACCACCGGAATCAGAAACCCTAGAATGATGATGATTCCCCTGTACCTACCAACAAACGTTATGGTTTCAACCATGTTTTTCAGGTGGTGCGAAATGGATTTCATCCATCCACAGTATGTCCCCCGGAAGCTCCAAGAACCAAGGCTGGTTTTCAGGGTGTGAAATGTTGACCCTTTACTGAAAAAATGGGGCTCATTATCATGGAACATCGCTTTTTTTTTTGCACGGAAACAGCTGCAAAAGACATTGATACTTGAAACAGGGGGGAGGAACCCATGGTCTAGAACATGGTTTGGATGTGGCGAATCTGGATCCACCCATATAAGAAAATAAACAGAGGACTAAGCAGTTACTGTGTATATCAAAGTCAGAAACTTTCGATCGGCCCTTTTAGCCTGCCATTGGTAACTTGGGATAATTGTAGAAGAACTTACATTTGCTGAACAGAATATGCCTAGGTCCCCCAGTAGTGCCCTTTCTCACCCAACTTTTTTAGTTGGGAGGGTTCCCCTACTAAAATAGACTACAGGAATAAGGGTACAGTACCCTGATTCTAAGCTCTCTACTGGAGGACCTAGATGCTTTATTCCTCCTAGGAATTGACTTCACTACTGGGTTTGTTTTGCCCATTTTGCCAGGTGGCTTAAGCAAATGGATGGTATAGACCCAATGGCCATTTCTCAAAAGCTGGCCGTTTGAGGGCCCAAAATAAATCTGGGTTTGGGGTCGCAATATCCCGTTTGGAAGGATTGCCGGAGGGTCCCGGGCTTGCGGCTTTCCCATTTTCAGGGGGTCACAAGGCGAGACCAGCTTTGACTTGCAGGTCCCTAGGCTAAGACCAAGAGAAGTGCCATCCTGTCTCGCTGCTTTGGCAGTGATTTGTGTTTTCTTCTTTCTTACCCCAAAAAACCAGCAACAAGTGACTGACAAGAAGCGATCGCGACTTGGCTATCTAGGTAGGTTGGGATGGCATGGTTGGGATGGCACTCGTTGGTCACCAAATTCTTCGGTTGGCGGGTTTTCTTTCTGCAGTTTCGGTTGTTTGGTTCATGTTTTGAGTGGGCTGCCGCGAAACAGCCTGGATCGCCAGTTGCTGCTATTTTCCATGAACTTTACCCCCAAAACCAGCAACAGTGGCTGAAAAAAGCGATCGCAACTTGGCGATCTAGGAGTCATTTTGTTGCAAGCCAATACCTTGTTTCCGGTGCAGGAGGGTCCTGTGCCGGAGAACGGTTTCAAGCTGGCGGAGACCGGGCGCGCCTCGGGCCAATTGAATGGGGGGGAACTCTCCAAAGGTCCCCCTATATCCATATACTCCAAATACCCGCTTCTTTTAGGGTATGATGTCGGCCCTCTACTGAAAAACAAGTATTTGGAGTAAGGGGGCGATATTCATTCAAAAGGAATTGGCCACGTGAATGAACCACAAGGTTCTGCGGCTCCGAGGTTCCCATTGGATGAAACCACCCCAAGACCTCGGGACTCGGGCCCGAAATGTGAGGCTGGAGGAAACCAGGTGAAGTGCCGTTTAGTCCCTTCGCCTGGGGAAAGCATTCCGTGGCTTGGTTGGCTTTCCGAACATTGTTTTGTAAGGACTGGGACCGGTTTGTTTCCCCCTTTTGGGTTTTCCTTTATTCAAGCACCCCAAAATCGATGCCCTCAAAACCAAAACACACACACAACTCCCACAAAACTCCCCACAAATCCCACAAATCCACTTAAAAAAAGGGAAAAAAACAGAAGGACCCCACCAGTTCCCCCCAAGCTTCCGAAGAAGTAGCTCCCCTGGTCTCATGCCCAACACGGGCCGGCCGAATCGCTGGATCCCTTCGCTTCGGCGTCGGCGTGGGCGTCGCGCAGTCCGAGGCTACCTCCACAGGGCCTCCTACGTGACCCAAACCGCGGAGGGCTGCGGTCTGAAGCTCTGGAAGCGCTGCAACGCGCCTCGTCCGCCCAAATTTATCCGCTCGAGGATTCACAAACGAAGGGGGGCAGCCGTCGGCTGAGGGTTCAAGGAAAAAGAAAAGAACACACATGGACCGAGAAGGCGGATTTTCTGGTTTAAAGGCAAGCACTATAGCATACCTAGACCCTCCAGGTGTGCATTTTTCTGCTGCTTGCTTAAAAAGCAATATGTTATGTTGTTTGCTCCAAAAAAGAGACTTTCCTTTCAAAGGTGCTGCTTCAATATCTTGCCAGAACGTGGTCGGCAAATGTCGCTTTTTGGTCGGGGAATGTCGCCTTTGGGTCGGGCAAAGTCGCCTTTTCGTCTTCATCCTAGTTTCGCAAAACCGCAGAACTCGCAAAAATGCACTTTGGCAAAAAAATGTGTCGTTTGCACCAAAAGGAGACTTTGGCCCAAACAGCAAAACATTGAACACTTAGAAGCGCCCAGGTATATTCTTAAGAACATGGAAGATAGTCACCAACCAGCACCTCCAAAGAAATTGGCAATTGGTACCCAAACATGGCTCAAACAAGACCCACATAAATGGACAAATGGACAGTTTTTGGAGGGCGCAGGAAGGCGGATTTGCCCCTGCTTTAAAGGCAGCCACTAAAATCACTAAAACGGTCCAAGTTGTGGTTAGGGATTCTTCGCTGGCTGGATCTTTTCAACGGTTTGGGTTGACTTGTGGGTGTCTTTTTTTTCCCCAAACAGTGTGTCTACACTAAGGGGTTCTTGCGGTAAGAGAAAAGGCCTTGGTGCCAGATTGAGGTGCCCGCTCTGTCCGCGAGCGTTTTGCGTGGTATTTACCGCTGATTCGTGCTCTTGCTTGCTGTCGAAGTGCGTTTCGACTGCGCAGGCTCGCGCAAAGTGAGGTGTCGACTTCTGTCCGCGAGCGTTTCGCGTAGTATTTACCGCAGATTCGTGCTTTTGCTTGATGTTGAAATGCGTTTCGACTGCGCAGGCTCGCACAAAGTGAGGTGTCGACTTCTGTCCGCAAGCGTTTCGCGTGGTATTTACCGCAGATTCTTGCTTTTGCTTGATGTTGAAATGCGTTTCGACTGCGCAGGCTCGCACAAAGTGAGGTGTCGACTTCTGTCCGCGAGCGTTTCACGTGGTATTTACCGCAGATTCGTGCTTTTGCTTGATGTTGAGATGCGTTTCGACTGCGCAGGCTCGCACAAAGTGAGGTGTCGACTTCTGTCCGCGAGCGTTTCGCGTGGTATTTACTTCAGATTCTTGCTTTTGCTTGATGTTGAAATGCGTTTCGACTGCGCAGGCTCGCACAAAGTGAGGTGTCGACTTCTGTCCGCGAGCGTTTTGCGTGGTATTTACCGCAGATTCTTGCATTTGCTTGATGTTGAAGTGCGTTTCGCTTGCGCAGGCTCGCACAAACTCGATTTTTTTGCTTTGTTGGCGGCTCCGGGGACCGTGAAGGTTGTCTCGTGGTTCGGCGGCACGGGTTTCCGGCGAAAGGTCCCGGGCTCGATTCCCGCCCTGTCCGCGCGAGCACACTCCTTTGCAGAGCACGCTTCCTTGCAGAGCACACTTGCGCTTCTTTGCGGAGCATTCTCCTTTGCAGAGCACACTTGCGCTTCTTTGCAGAGCACTCTCCTTTGCAGAGCCTTTCTTTGGGCATGCTTGGATGGTGCTTCTGTGCTGCGACGGCGTCTCGATGGTACTCTGAACAACAAGAACGAACCGCGTGTCTGTTCCAGGCCGTGTCCTTGTCTTTGTGAATGTGCGCACAAATACCGCCAAATGATGTTGCAGCTTCCTGACAGCCGCCTATCACTGTTTGAGGTCTCGTGCCGGGGTAATAGGGGAACCCACAAAATGGTGGTTTGCCTTCTGGTGTCCCTGTAAACAACCCCAACAAGGGTACCCTCACCAAAAGACGCCCATGTTGTGTTTCCTCACTAGCCGGCCAAAAGCTCGTCGCCCTTCAAAATGGAATTGGGGCAGGGGGGAGTTCGACCCCTGGAAGTCCATGTATGGCTCCATTTTGCTTGCGGAATGGTGGACAAATGGAATTGGGTCCCGGACCCCCACCCTCCCCGAGAAGGTGGGGTGAACCGAAAGCTGAGGTGGTTCTCCGGAAGAACGGGGGGAAGCCGGTGCACGGGCACCTCCACCTTTTCCTGAAGCCCGGGCCCTGAACCCATAAACATGGGGCAGCCTGGGCCATCTCACTCGAGTTTCTGGACCTCAGGCACTTGGGAAGACGATCTTTTACCCAGGACTAGTTGTTTTTCTTCTTTTCTCTCCCCTGTTGGTTTTAATCCTTGGGATTCGCTTGCGTCACCTGGATGCGAAATTGTGCATAGGGTGGTTGACGTTTTTGTGGGTTGCCGGTGTTGGCTTGACCTTAAGGAAAGCCAGCAAAAGCTATCACCCATAGGTCCCCTACCTGGAGTCTCCATGACGCTTAAAAAATGGTGGGTCATGAATTCCAAAATAATGGTTGGTCATTGACCCATTTTTCCAGGGTCGGAAGGAGACTCTACCTAGATGGCCAAGTTGCGATTGTTTTTTTCAGTCACTGTTGCGATCGGTTTTTGAGATAAAGTGCATGGGGGGAAAAAAAGCAACTGGCGATCCAGATATGTTCAGACACACCCATCTATTGCCTCAGTGGGGGATGGGGTGCCTCGACTTGTTCAGAGCCTCAATTTAGCACGGAGCCAGCCTTGGAATGGCAGGGCTGTTCAGCATGGCAGATCTTGAGATCTATCATTCTAGGACCCGCTTTTTTCATGGCATTTTAGGAAAACCCGGTTTTCCATGGTAAATACCTCCATTATTAGTAGAGGGTCAACATGATACCCTGAAAAAAAAGTGGTGTTTGGAGTAGGGGGTAGGGGTAATGTCAACAACACCGCAAGCCAACAGTAACCCATCCATCCAACAACGACACGTCGATGGTCCCCGCGTTTCCTTCGCCCGAATGAAAAGGAAGGCCGTATCATTCTTTGCGGGGATCCTGGAAATGGCTGGTTCTTGAACAGAACGATGGCTGAAAGAGAATGGGTCATGTGTGGTCAACTTGTGCCAAGCCTCCGTGCACCCAGTTGATGAGTGACACCCATTTTCCCTTATCATTTTTTGTGGGTTTGCTACCAGCCTTGGCCACGCCGGAGAAGGGTTTGCCTTTCCAGCTTGATGTTTTTTGTTTTTTGTCTTTTTTGGTTTTTTCTCCTCATATCTGGCAATGGGTCTGTCATTTGTTGATGTGATGGTACGCGCTACCTTGTTTGTGTTGGTTGCTTTATAGGGGGGCAAAAGGAAAACCAGCCATTGTAAGGGTCCCCTATTTTAGGACACACCCCTTCCAAGCCATTTGAACAGCCCAGCTTTGGCGGATTTTTCTTAGCCTTGGCTTGCGATGGGTGGGCTGCAGATTGTTCCACGTCGGCAATGTTGACTCCAGATGATGAACTGATTCATATGGTGTCCCTGGGTGAAATTTGGGGAATCGGACTACTATTGGAGGGGAACCCCCCCCACTCCTATATTAATAAGCTGGGGGTTATTGAATAACCTGACTACAAGTTCTCTTGAGAATAAGTCCAACAATTGGCGCCCTTCCTGGCTTAGTTGGTTGTGAGATTCTTTTTAGTGCAAACAGAAAGTATGGTTGCGTTCAGGAAGTGAGTGAATGGGGATCCCTGTCTTGGATGGCGCGAAGAGGGGAGCCACAAAGCAACGCACCCATGGAAAAGGAGTGACCCAGCTTGCTCATCGTTTGGCGACATACGGAGGTGTTCGACTTTCCTTTCTATGTGTTTGTTCATGCTGGGAAATCATGTTTGATTCACCCTGATAGTTTGTCGAATAAACCTTGCCATTACATGGTACGATTGCCGTGGTGGTGGGCAATTTGCTTGTGAGGCATTCTATGAACCCTAGGGTCCAATTTGGATGATGACAACCCTTAGGTAAGCAATGGTGGTTATATGAACCCCCATTGTTCTAATGGCTCTTTGAACCCCAGGGTGAAGCCAAGGGACGGCAAAGTCTTTCACGTGGCGAACTGGCCGCAAGAACCAGATGACAACCCCCCCGTGGGCCACGCAAGTCAGAGCGCAAGCGACCGCACGGCCAGCTTTGGAGCAGAAGGCTCGGCCTTGTGTCACGTGTCAGCCTCGCCTGCGGAAAAAAACGCTCGCCTGAGACAGGGATGAGGGGCCAAAGTCGTCAGTTTGAATCCAAATGAAGTCATGAAGCAGCATCACAAAATGTGCAATGACTTGGCAGAACCTGAAACATGGGGTAATTCACCAACCATCATGTTGGTTGGCAATAACCCATTTCATTCATTCTTTCGGGTCCAGGTGGCTCCCCTTTTTTGCCTTTTGCTCGCACACAGTCAGCCGCCCTCAAGCTGTTTATTGGATCAATTGCCATAGCTGGGGTCAGTTTCCGACCCCGATTTCCCGAGTCGATGTTGCTCAAACAAACCCACCGTGATTTGAAAACTACACAGTAAAACACGGTAAACTAGATACATAGTTCAAGTGCAAGCTCGTGAATCCAGGTTCAGCAGAGAATCGGTTTTCACAACTTCCGTTACTTTCAATATGGTAGAACCATCCACTGCACGCGGAGCTTCACTGCAAACCTTCTGTTGCACATTGCTTTGCATGGCTGGTCTTTGGTGTGACCTCAGAGAGGAAGAATGAGCACCCTGTGTTGTACGGTTTATTGGTTTTTCACACATGAGGAGGATACGTTGCTTGAATGTTTTGCTTCCGGTCATGTCGAGAGGAGCAATTTGCCCAGGATGGATTCCGCGTGTTTCAGTGAGTACTCGTTTTCTGGAAGTGTAAAACATGCTACAGCCAACTACCCCCTACACAGGGTGCAATTTTTTCCATGGTAAATACCGATCATGTTTCTTGTCAAGGGTCGACATCATACCTGAAAAAAGGCCGGGGGGTAGTTTCTGGGCTTTAGCCTCCCGTGGGATCCATTTGGCTGTGGCTCAAATAAAGTACCAAAGTGGCACCTTGGTTAATGGAGCCAACTAAAACCGAAGGGTAACCCTAGCTCTTAGTTTTTTGAGCCATGCCCATCGGTCAATTGCTCTAGACGGGCAGTCATTTCGAAGCCGCCTGCAGCCCAGCTGGGCCCTTTCTGCCTGTAGCTGGGTTTTCCAGAAAGCCCACCTGCCAAGAAAGGTTCAACCCTCAAGTTTCCACGATGTGTCACTCAGGATGTGAAGTGCGCCATGCTGCGCCAAGTTGACACACCCGGCCAGCCGGGGGCGCAAGAAGCTTCCGACGGGGAGCTTGGACTTTCCGTGCCCAGACCAAAACTGGTTCAAGTCTTCGGGTGGGCGAAATATGAGGCAGAATCACAACCCAGTTTTTCTGGTATACCCCAAATGTGGAGCAAGATAGATGGGCTAATAAGAGTCAGAAGGTCCGATTCCGCCGAAACTATGTCTATGTTGTGTTGCCCGTTATGGCTATTTGGTGGGATCTTTGGACTTTCAGACTTGAAGTGCAAAGGACAGCAAGCATCAGACGGCACCGACTCCCATTTTTAGGATCAGAACCCCAGCAGGCTTCGGTGGGTCTATGGACACCAAACGGGCCAGGGAGAAGCTGGGGAATGAAAGCAAGGGACCCCACGTAACATGGCAGTGGATGGACAACATCCATTTCGCACCACTTGAAAACCATGGGGAACCATTGCTTATGTGTATTTACGTTGGGGAATCGTCAGAAGCCAGGGAACTATCACAGGGTTCTCAAGAGGGTCAAAGACCAGCCTACTCTGCTTGGGTCAAGATCTGATTTGCCCTCACGGACAGGTTCGGCCGAACGCCTCCCAGGGGAGATTGCACACCCAGAGGGGTTTTTTGAGGTCTCAAAACCTGGCTGTTTGAGGGCCCAAAATCAATCGGGAGCGTTTGCGCATTTATTAATATGGCGCTGTCCAAAGTTTTAGTCAGGGTTCGCCACTTGTGGAGGGCAACACCCCGGTATTAAATAAGCATGGGGTCTAAGAATGCATATCGCCCACTGTTTTCTTGTCCGATGAGCCGACCTCCCATAGATCATTTGTCATTTGTGGGATGCCGAACACCCCGCTTGCGCTGCTTCCTCTCCAGCGAAAACCAGAAAGGGTCAGTGTTTCCGGAGTTCCTCTCGTGCCAAAAAAGTCTCCAGGCCGCCTGTTCCTAATCAATATTGTCCAACAAAAAGCGGGCCGATGATCCGATGCGCCCCTTTCGCTTTTCCTGTGAAATCGGAACGCAAGCTGCATGGGGCCAAGAGTTGGGTCAATCTAAATTTTAAATGGACTTGGAAGTCCTAAAGCGAATCCTCACCTTATTTTTTCCAATTTTGGTCCAAATGAAGCTCAACCTACCAAAAGAGAGGACATCACCCCACAAATTTGGTGGTAAGATATCCCATTTGCATGGGGGGTGTGCGGGTGCAGCCATAGTCCAGATTCCGGAAAAGGCGAGCCGTTCTTTATTCGGCAGGGCTCCATAAAGGATACATCTTGCACAATTGAAACATGGCATTTTCCACCAAAATAAAACCACCATTGACAAGTTGCAATGCTCAGGTGTATAATGCAAGGATCCCTGTTCGGCGACGGCTTTTTTGGGGGCTACTGAGCAGACCTCTCGGCCGCGCCATGGCCGGTTTTGGCGGCGCGTCTATGAGGTGAGGGCAGCGACTTGGTGGGGGGTTCGGATTTGGAAGGGGAGCTTTGGGTGTGTGTGTGTGTGTTTTTTGAAGGCCTCTCCACCCCAAATAACCAATACGTAATATGCCGATGTTCCTTTGTTTTGTCCAAAATGGTTAGGAGAATGGGGAATCAACCCTTAGATGAATGCCGCCATGTACTGTGGAATGGACACAACCATTTTCACCCGTTCATAGTATGGGTATACCTTCAACCCCCACACCTGGAAAATGGTACCGATTCACATTCAGGTTTGTGGAACAGGGCTTCATTCGAATATGTAGCTTACTTACCGCCATCCAAATGTCAGTGCGGAAGCCAATGGAACACTAAAGGGGAACTGCCAAAAGGAATCGGAAGTTCCTTCGTGCCATGTGGTACGTTCCAATCTGTGTGCAGAATTGAGAACATGATGAGTACTCAAAGGCAGCTTGGCCGCTGTTTCATTGGATCTTGAGACTTTGGCAGAGATGTGTTTTTCACTCAGCCGCTCAAAGTTGTTTTGTTGGCACTGGGGGGGTTGTTGAGGAATCCAAGCTCGAAGTAGCACGCATGTTTTACCCCCTACTCAAAATACCCGCTTTCATTTGGATTCTTGTTGGGAAAACCTGGTTTTCCATGGTAAATACCTGCTTTCTTAGGAGAGGGTCGACATGATACCAACTGAAAAAAGGCCGGGTACTTGGAGTAGGGGGTACTTTTGCTTGGGTCAAAGGCCACGCAAGCCACCAAGCCACCACGTAGCCTCGGGCAATCCAAATTTGCGCAAGTCAAGTGTTGACAACTGGCTGTGGCTCAAAATCATGTACACAAATGGCACCTTTCTAAATTGGAAACAGGCACTAAAACCTGCGTAACCCTAGGTCTTTAATTTTGAGCCGCACCCAAGTACGGCACAGCCGCTGTCAGCTTTCAAGCCATTTGGCGAGCCTTGCCACTTAAGATGCAAGACATGGTGTAGGAGAAATACGTAGAACACAGCCAACACAGAAGCACAATAAACTAAATAATGAAACAACACTTTGAACAAGCAAGACCAAACGGACACAAACAGATCGGATAGCAAACAGACCGAGTTTCAAAACGAGCGAAACAACAAATCAGCAGCAATCAAGCCACCAAAGACACAAACACATAAACATAGCAAGCCAAACACCCACAAAAAAGGGAAGAAACAAAAAGAACCCGCACCAAAGAACATAACAAACACAAAAATCAGCTCAAGCTTCAAACTGACCGGAAGAACCCAGCAACCCGCCGCAGCTTGGCGTCTCCGCGACAACCGAAGCTCCGCCGCTCGGTGGCTCCGCCATGTCGGACGCGGCGCTGGCGGCGAGGGACTTCTTCGGGGGCACGCTGGGAGGCATGGCGGGCCCCCTGGCCCGGAGCGAAACCAACAGAAGGGAACATTCGCCCAGCATGACATGTGGGTTGCAACCCATGGCATCGAAGAACCAAAGTAAATTTTGGGTTGCAACCCATGCACCAAAATACGGCTTGGCAATTCTCCGAATCTTTTCCACCAGCCCCAAACAAGCTGGTCGATAGGCATGATAGGCCCAAATTTCAGGGAGGCCCGGTGATGCGGGGCAGCGTTCAGGGAGGGTTCAAAAGCAGATTCGGGTCCAACAGGGAAGAATAACAACACATTCTCAAGCAAATGCAAGATGGTTCCCTGCAGACTCGGGTCACTTGTTTGTTTTGTTTTGCATAAGCCTTTGTAACAGCCAGCCCACAACTGCAGCCATGTCGAAAGTCCGCTCAGTACAGTAACCAATAGGTCGGGGGGTGCTGGAATTTTGTACATGTTGTTTGCCCGCTGGTTTTCTCACTTCCGGAGTTCTTGGACCTTTGACACTTTTTGGGTTTGGCTACCATCTTAGTGGTAAATAAACAAGGTTCCTGGTTGCCCTATTTTTTGGGCCACCCACTTGCTCTCCGAAGTAGTGAGTTTCTAGGGGTTGCTTCCCCATTCTTTTCAACCATCGTTCTTTTCAAAAAGCAGCTGTTTCCTTTGGGGTGGAAAGAAGGATCCCTGGAAAGAATGGGGAAGTGTCCCGTAGAGTTGCGTTGATTTGGTGGCCCGCGCTGAGAGATCTGAGGTATTTTGGCCGGGCACCCGCTGGACACCGCGAAGACACGCTTGCAGGCCATGCAGCGCTTCGAAAACGCGGGCACCTACAAGGCGGGGATCCTGGAGCCGCAACAGCTGCGGTTTGGGCGTGTGTTTTTCACTTCTTGCTGCATCAGGTAACCCTTAGTTGGTGGTTTGGATTGGTGGTCGTTGGTGTGCACCCCCTTGCATCTCACTACTTCATTTGGTTCGGGGGGTCCTTTTGTCCCTTTATACCCTCCTGTTACGACAGGGCGTTGTTTTTGCGACAGGGCTTTGCTTTGTTTGGGGTTTCCATTGATCTCACTCAATGAGTTCATGGACTTTAGACTTTTTGCGGTTGGACCATTTTAGTGGCATACAAACAAGCTTGGAGTTTTTTCTTACCCCATTTTGGCCACTGAAACACAAGGGGAAAACCAACAAAGCACCAAAACGGATCAGTCGACTGGATCTGTTTGTCCACAGTGATCACCTTTTATTCGCTTCCGCCATTGTTGCATCCGGGGGCCGCCCCCTATTTTTGTCTTGCTCAGTTGTTCAAACCTGATCTCGCCTACTGGTTTTCCATTTTTGGCAACCATGTTTGGTCCCAAAAGGTGATCACCTTGTTCATCCAAGTCCAATTCCCTTGTTGGACTCATATCAGAGGCGAAATTAACATCACAATTCACAGTTTTATGTGTCAATTAACAGGTGGGTGGTCCTGAAAGCACACAATTAACGGCTGTCAGAAGTGTAGCATTGGGTTGAACATAAAAGTGGGGGGGGGGGGCAGGAGTGGTTTTGGCCTGGAACATAAAACTATTTAGGGGTGTGTGGATCTATCAATCGGGGAGAGCATGTTTTTTCCAGATCCGTTCTTGGGCAAGTGAGAAAACATCACTTTTGGGCCCCCAAGTTGAGTATCCGATGGATTAAGGGGACGCATACATAGCCTTGTCAAATGGTGATTATTCTTTTGGCCTACCTTCAAGCCAAGGACAAGATGCCTCCAAAGAAAAACACACTTGGACACTTGGATGTTCAACTTTGATCAGAATCCCTCACAATGTTCTAAGAACTCACTTGCCCAAAGCCGGCCCTTTGACCTGTTCGATTCCCCTGTTTGGTCCGATCTATTTCAGGCTCCCTAAGGAGCAACTGAGAGAGCCCATTTGTTGGCGGCTGCGGTTCTCTCAAGTAATTCCCGGGAAAGGTTTGCCTTTCAGACTGGTTCCCTTTGTGGAACTGGGTCCTTTTTCCCAAACGCCTTAAACGTGGGTTCAACTTAAAATCAAAAGCCACAGATGGAACCATCGAAAAGGGGCGAGTTGCCCCAAACAATCAGCAAGGCGACTCAGGTTTTGCCGCATGATGGCCCTGGGAAGGTCCTGTTACTGGCGCACCCTTTCCCGTTCAAAACCGGCTCCCCCCGAAAAAATTGTCCCGCTGGTGCTCGGCAGGGAACGAGGGAATGACCCCTATAAATAATTCCACTAGTTACTTGGGAATCCCCAAGCGGTCCAACACCCGAACTCGGAATTCATTCACTAACTACTGAGCACCAGCAAGATGCTTTCTCCCATGCAACTCCACTGGGGGTCTGAGTCTGGGTGTTTGAGGTGGCCCTTAATTGGTCTTTTGGATTAGTTGTTTGAGGATTTCAACTGGTTCTTGCAGGGGGCAACTGAGGGAAACCACCTCCCCTATCGACCAATTCCTTGCTGGTGCTCAGTAGGGAATGTGGAAACGAACCCAGGGGTCCCCTTAGAGGGGTCCATAGGCGATGAATTCGGGGTCATTCCATTTGGGTATGGGTCAAAATTACGCCACCAGGGGACCACAGGTCTTAGTCCTTGGTTCCCTTTGCCAGGGCCTGCGCCATTTTGGGGCTACCCTATTCTTGACCCACAAAATGGCCACAGTTGGTTTTCTTATAGCCCCAGGCAATGGCTCCCAGGCAAGCCTTTTGGTTCCATTTCTTGAGCCACAGCCATGTCTCTGCCACCAAGATGCGAGGGAAGCCGAGCCTTGGGCGGTCGGAGTCGGCCAGTCGGCCAGGTGCTCAGCGACACAGCCCGCAGCTCGGAAGAAATGCGAGGGAAGAGCCGGGCTCGGAGCTGGGGGTTTCTCATAAATCCTGAGTTCCGGAGCTCGGGCTTCAGCCCACTTTTTGGGGGGGGTGGGCCACTTGTTTGTTTCTTTTTCTGGTTTTTTGTTCTCCGGGTTTGTAAAATATATACCATCTTCAAGATAATCATGTGATGTTGATATAAAACATGGGCAGAGTGTTGTGAGATATGATTAGGCAACCAGCAAGTTTGGCCTTTGTTTTGCCCATCCGCTCGGGAAGTGAGGTGTCCAAGTTTGCCTCTAAAAGAGGCAGTCGGACGCGGAGCTACCGAAATGGAGTTCTGGTTATAGGGACATGGTAGGAGCAACATGGCCTATGTGTGAATTTCGACTTGTCCCCAGCTTGGGAAAACACATTTAGGGGCAAACACGCAGTCCGGACTTTTGTGACTCCACTCAGAAGGTAATCAGGGGGAGACACCAAATGCCCCTAGCTCTGGCTGGTCTGTGGGTTTCTGCGCTACATCGAGCACAGGAAGACAGGAGCATAGCGTGGCTTCTTTTGTCAGGAGCACAGCACTGGGACCGTGTCCTTCAAGCGGTTGGCTCCAGTGTGATGCGTCAGGCTGCTCCGCTCCCCTTTGGTGTCGCTGGGGTCAAGGGCCGAGGGTCATGGGCCTTTCCATCCGGCCACGAGATGCGAGAGATGCCGCACGTTTGTTTGGG